TTACCCAAACCTAACAACAATGGTGTCAGACCCATCTCTCTCACATCCTGTGTACTCAAGATTATGGAAAAAATTATTCTTAATCGCCTGTATTGGCTCATTGAGTCTCCTCTTTCGGATCTATTACCAAACAATCAGTTTGGATTCCGCAAATTCAGATCATGCCAGGACAATCTCACTGCTCTGATCGCCAGCATTCATACGGGCTTTCTAGCCAAGCGGGATACAGTCGCCCTATTTATTGACATTAAATCTGCATTTGACAATGTATTGCCTCACATTCTCCTCCAGGATCTCTTAGCACTTGATTTCCCCCCTTTGATACTTGCTTTTGTTTCTAACCTTCTCTCTCGGCGCACTATTTAATTTGTTACTCAATTTTTTACATGGCTCGATTTCTAATCCTCGCAGCTCATTTAAAGGTACCCCCCAGGGTTTCGTTCTCAGCCCCACGTTGTTCAATCTATATTTAAGCAAGATCAATGAGACGCTTCACCCGGCCACGGAACTCCTCCAATTCGTCGATGACATCGTTATCTTTTCATCAGATAAGGATACGACGTCCGCCATCCAATCGGTCGAGCGATCTCTCCAAAGTTTAAATACGTTCTTGCTTGGACGTGGGCTGGAAATTTCATTGTCGAAAACTCAACTTATGGTTTTCTCTCTCAAGAGACCTTTGAATCCGCCTAACTACCATATCTCCATTCAGAATCATCGCATTCCGGCCTCTTCCTCGGTGCGCTTTCTTGGAGTCCTCTTAGATCCTAGACTCTCGGGAAGGCTTCACATGACCTCTATTATACAGAAAGGTAAGCGGATCATGCAGGTCATATCTGCTCTCAGAGGTACTTGGTGGGGGGCATACCCTCACGTGCTGCTCATCATTTACAGAGCTATGCTGCGGGCCATTGAATACTCCGCCCACATTTTTGGATTAATGAATAATGATCTGTCACGTGCTTTTCAAATCATCCAAAATCAAGCCCTAAGATTGTGCTATGGATACAGAATTTTCACCCCGCTTAATGTTATCTATGCGGAGACTGTCGAACTCACGCTCTCTAGCAGATTTCGTCTTTTGACTTCTAAATACTTTATGAAGATTAGTTCGGTGAGGGACCACCCGGCGGTTGTTAAACTTCATGAGTTATATGATTTAGCCTTGAATACTAACAGAATTAATTATCTGCGCGCTCACTTTCCTGCTGTTCTTATTTTTCCACCATATATGGTCTTTCCACAACGTCGTGGATTGCTCGTATACTCTCCCTAACTTTCGTCACTCTTTTTACTCCACCATGATATCTTTCTCTTATGCTCAGTTATCCGCTCCTTCTCTGGAAACTCTTAAGTCATTCCCCAACTGTAATGCTCAGGCCTTATTCGAGCAGGAGTTTCACCATCTTACGGCCGAATCCATCGTTTTTTATACTGATGGCTCTAAGCTTGATCATAGTACACACGTGGGTGCAGCGGTTTTTTCCCCTCAATTGCAGGCTGAGCTTATGTATAAGCTATCTTCCTACACTTCAGTCTTTTCCGCCGAAGCCTACGCCATATATAATGCCCTAACGATAGCTATAGATTTACAAATACATAAAGCCTCGATTGTTACCGACTCTAAAAGCGTGCTCGAATCCATTAGTGGACCTTGCAATTCCTCTAATAATTATCTTATTCCCCTTATTAAGGTAGGATTGGAAGAGACCAAGTCTAAAGGCACGCACATACAATTTATTTGGGTCCCCTCATATAAAGGTATAGCCGGTAACGAGGGAGCCGATCGGCTCGCCAGGAGAGCGATACGCAAGGGCATCGAGCCTAATTTCAAGGTCCCTTATTCGGACCTCTGCGCTATTATCAAGCAGCAAATTACCGATAGCTTTTATCAACAACTTGAATCCACGGTTGACATTAAAGGAACTTACTACTTTTCTCACATTTTCCAAAGGTCTGCTAAGCCTTGGTACTATCGCAAGAAAGTATCTAGACAAACTATTGTTATGCTTAACCGCTTGCGTTCGAATCACTATAATTTGAATTCTAGTTTACATCGTAAAAATCTGATCGACGATCCTTCTTGCCCTTGTGGTTCGACACGGCAAGATATCGTCCACCTAGTATACGATTGTCCGGATACCTATACTCAGGCACGATATCTGAGGCGCATTGTTGACCGTACCTCAAATTCCAGGGACAGGTTAGAGAGATTTACAAGGGCCATTTCGGATCCTTCGGATTGCCTATGCCGTCTTATTCTCAACTTCTCTAAAGCTTGTGACAGGCAGTTCTGAATTCATACTCTCGCGCCTACCCGCGACCTGCGCAGGCGCTATGCCCTGCCTTCGCCTTACCCCTCCCATCCCAGCGAAGCATATGCTCCGCTCAGCTCTAGGCATTCAGTCGCGTGGTTGTATTATCGGAGTTGTATACTCCGTCTATGACGCTCCAGTCAGCAAAATCGCAATTTCGCCACGTCTAGCGCATCTTTATATTTTGTACATTTTTATCTTTCGAAAGTCTATTCACCGGGATCTGACCGTATCGACCTCCTTTTGATATTCGGAGGCGGGAGCCATCAATTAAAAAAGAAGAAGTTCGAGAAGAGTCGTCAAAAATTGAGTGACGCAAGAGGTTAGAGACGGCAAAGAAGATGAAGAACGTGCATCTGAGTGGTGCAAGAAAAATTTTTCTTTCGACGAGACGTAAACGACGAAGAGAAAAGTGCAGTGCGCGCTACAACGTGAGTAACGAATCGGAATAAACTGTGACGTAGAGTCGTCACGGTGTCGGATCCGAATAAATTCACGGTTGCTGCGTTGAAAGAGTTGCTAATAGCGCATGGATTGTCAGGCGCGGGCCGAATTAATTGCACGTCTCTTAGAAGCCGATCCGTCGGGGACGTGGCTGAATAGTGAACAAAGCGAAGGCAACGACGATATCGAGAGTGCGCGACAGGCTGACGCAAGTGATGCGCAGCCGACGACGAGTCGACAACAGCGAGAAGCCGATCTGTGCAGAAGAGAGAAAGAATTAGCGGAACGCGAATTAGCGATAGTACGCTTGGAATTGGAGACGACGCGGAAGATGCAGACCGAGCGGGCCGCAGAGGACAATCGACTACGACAACCGACATGCAACGGCGAGGCGTCGATTGAAGGTGAGCAGGTGAGACCGACGACAGCGAATCGTGGCCATGACTTTATCGGACCAATCCGAACGAACATAACGGCGGTAGTGGATTTGCTTGGTGTTTTCAATGGCAAATCTAACTACTTCGAACGTGGGAGAAACAAATCAAATTGATCAAATCGACATATAAATTAGAAGATGACATTGCCAGGATACTTCTCACATCAGTATGACGTCTATTAAGCTGACACAGCCACTTCAGCACAATCGAACGAAACCTACACAAAAATTTAGTGCTTTTTTGTTGCTAATTTGTTGTTCAATTCCCGATTTTGTTGCTCCAGCCAATTCCGAGGAAACAATGGCTGTGCTAACTTAAGAATAAAGTTAGCACAGCCACATAAAAAAAATTTTTTTAATAAAAAATGGCACACGATCTTTTTGTGCTAATTTGTTGCTAATTTGTTGCTCAGTTGCCGATTATGTTGCTCCACCCCCGACCCTT